AATTTGTTTTTATTATGTGCTATATTTTTGGATCCAATTAAAAAAGCTTTCAATTCTTTGAAAAGTACGAGAAAAAAAATATATTTAAAATGCGTTAGAGAATTTTTGTCGGAATTTCATTTGACAAAAAAAGTTCGTGATATAATTCCAATTAAAAAGGTGACAATCAAATCAAAAAAATTTAAGCTATCATTTGACAATAAAGAAATGATAGTGACAAAATAATAAGTTTAGATTTAAAAAAAAGAAATTAGTGGTTATATAAAATTGTCAGTAAATGAGCAAAATGTTTTTAAACTTTTGGCATTTAAATCAACATGTGTTTCCAATATTGCATTGTATTTTAACAATGATTTTATGTACGCCTGCTACCAGTTCACCAAGTGAACACCTTTTCTCTAAGCATTAAATACTTTGTATGCAAAGCAAAACAGAATGACAACTGAATGTTTTCAATTGTTGATGTTTTTGTACAAAAATTTGGAATTTTTTAATTGATTTTAAATTCATTAAATTTAATACTGAAGTTTTTTCTTGTAATAAACATTTTTTAATACATTTTATTATATAAATATTATTAAATTTAGTATTTGAACTCTTGTGTGAAACTGATTTTTTTTTGTTGCAAAAATCTAAAAAAATTAATATAGTTTTTAACATTTTATATGTGTTTAAAAAAAATGGTAAAGAAAAATTGAAAATTAAAAAAATTAATGTGTGATTTTAATGTTGCCTAAAACTGCAAATTTTTTTTTTTTTACCTCATTATTATTTTTTTAATACTTATTCATATATTCTTTAGTATTCTTTTAACATCTATCTAATGAAAAAATATAAAAATAAATATAATAAAAAAGTTATTGAATTTTAATTTATAATTGTTTTGACTCGGTTTTACATGCATTTTAAAGTGCTTAAAAACTATGTATTGCATTTTTCAAGTAATTAAAATCTCGTGAACAATTTCCTGGTTTTAAAAGCGACCGCAGCTACTTAATAAAATGTTTTCTTATTAACAGTTAAGTATTATTTAATACATTTTATACACTATTCACAACTTATATTGCAGAAATTGCATTCTTAAATGCAAATACTAATCTTCCTTTTAAATTTTGCAAGTCCCGCCAACAGACAAACAGCTATACTCTGAAAGCTTTCATAAAAACTTATTTAACGATTACTTTTTGGAATTATGTCAATACCTTCACCTGCCTAACTATAGTGTTTGCAGGTTATAATAGTTAGGAAAGAAATAGGCATCAATAAATGTTCGTATATTGTGTATTGTATTTTTGGTGGTATTTACGTTAACATTACCAGGGTGTTAACTAGGAATAAATTTGATACAGCGTTTTGACGAAATTGGGAATTTGTAAAAAAATTTTCTCCGCTGAGATTAAAATATGTACCAGGAATGTGTGGGGTCCTTTTATTATATTCTTTTTATTTTTCTACTCCACTTAGCGGTGCATACATTAACTGGGCAACGTTAAAAGTAAAACACCACCTGTAACATTTATTGAAGATGAATATGAAATCAACAAAATTAAACATGATTTTGCAATGACAACGCAAATTAAGCTCCGATTTCCAAAGATATATTCAGAATTATTTTTTCATTTTATATTATAAAATAATCAGCGTGTAATAATTAACTATTATTAATATATTTGATTTACTTTTAATCCTAACATACCGTTGCCACTTTTATGTTGAGAGTATTTTTTTGAATATATATATTTTTTCACTTGTGAGCATTAAATTAAAATTACTTTTAATTATTATCTAAATTCTGTTTGACTATTTTTAAGGACGAACCCTTACACCATCATGTAATAAAATTGTGTCGTCAAAAGAAATGTTTTAAAAATATAAAAATTAAAAAGGTTTTGAAAACAGTAAACAAGCTCGTAAATTTCATATTTCACATTTATTGGGAGTTTAACTTTATAATAAGTATGAACTTTATCTATACATAAATCGCATAGCAAAATAAAGTTACAATTACAAAGTCTCAGCTAAAACAACAAAAAATGTCATTTAATTACAAAAGAATTACCAAAGAGCGCAAGCGATTGCACACTATTGTGGAAACAAAGAACACCAATAGATATCTTTTCATGCATAATCATAAAATGTTATTATTACTATGGTTTATTGAAACATTAAAATTTGCTTTTATATTTTACATTCAAGCAAGCGGTGAATCTGATTTCTAGTACTATTACCATTTAGTCAATTTTCTAAAACCAGTTTGTTATAATCAAAAAACATTTATTTAACTTATTTAACTTTTAAACTGAACAAATTTTTAATTTTTTAAATTGTACTTTAATTCTTGCTAACATTTTTTTATAACAACTTTTGTTGTTGGAACACATTGCAAAAAATTATTTGCAAATTTTAAAAAAATAATTTTTTTCCCAAGCAATTTTAAGAATTTTCAGAAAATCCCAATTATCAAAAAGATTTTTTCAAAGAGAAATTTTTGCAATTATGCAAGTGCATAGTTATACCAATAACTACAATTTTATTTCACGTTTTTCATGTAATTTTTCTATTAGTTTTTAATAATAATTTGTTTTAAATAATTTTTAGAATTATTAAACTTTAATTAGGTAAACTTTATTTGGAGAATGGAATTTTTTCACTTTTAAATTGGGAATTTTAACTTTATGAGTATTTGGAAATACCGCGTTTGACGGGGCCCCACAGGGCCAGTTTACACCCTGATTACAATAGATTTGGAGAGGGTTAACAAATTGTTTCTAGTTTGTTTTTTTACTGTATTTTTTACTGTAGTATATTATTGTTTGCAAAGAAACATATAAATCATTTTTTAATATAAACTAATTTTTTTTTCAACTTTATTGTATAGGCAGGTTTGACGCTTAACCATTCTTATATAAACAATATATATAAACAAATTATTTATATATATTGTTTATAAAATGTAAAAAATCCACTTACATAACGTTTTATTCAGGATCGTATGTAATATAAGTAAACTTTTCTAATAACTACAAGTGTTTTTTGCTCAAACTGTTTTTTTTTTATTTTTTGTATGTATGTTATTATATTTTAAAAAATTGACAAAATTGAAAAAACACAAAACATATTGTCTCATCCATATGGAAAATTTGAAACTTCAATTTTAGGTTTTGCCGCTCTTTTGATGATTTCTGATTACTAAAATTACGTCATCTGCTTTTTAGACCATTAAAAATAATAGATGTGGCTTTTTTGTAAATCGTTGCAGCCAAAATTTTTTTGCATATGTAATGTCACTTTTAGGCAAGAAAAAACTAGAAAAACAAACTAGAAATAGGATTTTATTTAAATTAAAAAAAAAAAATTCCTATTAAAGATAGATGGAATATATTTTTTATGGGATATACGTTAATAAAGACAAAAACTATTTATTTATTACTATTGTAATAAATACAAACTCTTATCCGTGAAATGATATATCTGTACTATTTTTATATCTTTTTGTGCAATTGTATGCAACATAATTAAAATTAATTAAAAAATGTAAGATAAATGCAAAAGAAACTTGACGAATAAAAGTTTATTTTGCCACAAATTGACATCAATGTACACAAATTTTTTGGCTTTACTTAGTGTTTAATAGCTGAGGCTATTATTAAGTTTTTAATTATAATCATAAGAATGAATTTTTTTTTTATAACTATCTTTTAGTGGTCTAATATATTTATAAAATGAGAAAACTTTGAAATTTTATTTTAAATTTTAGAAATCTTTTTTGCTATATTATTATTTTTTTGCTATAAAAAAGCAAGATTGAAAAAATTTCAAAATTTATTATGCTGAGGGGAGGTCTTTACCTCCCAAAACAACACTGATGACAGAACACTTAACCACTGAGCTATCATTGAAATGCATTTGTGCAGAAAAACAAACCTAATTATAAGTCTCTTATAAGCTCTGCATATGCGGAAAAGATGCACATGTTAAGTTTTTTGCTCTTAAATTTTTCTTTCAGAATAAATTATTATACTAAAAAAAATTGAAGGATTAGGTATATAAATAATCAGTGTAGAATAAATATGGTCCTTTAGCTTACAACACTGCTAAAGTCAAAAACTGGTGGTTTTTAGATTTTAATACCTATCAAAGAAGCTGCTCATTGGGAATCTAACCACTAGCCACATGATATAGATTATAGCAAATCAAACCGCCTATTAGGGTATTTTTTAAGTAAAAACAGTAAAATTACACTGATTTTTTAAAATAGATAGTTTTTTTTTTGTCTCCTATAAAGTTGATAAAATTGACTTATATATATTGTCTCACCATAAAACATCAAATATATATATATATATATATATATTTATATATATATATATATATATATATATATATATATATATATATATATATATATATATATATATATATTTGTCTCACCATAAAACATCAAATATATATATATATATATATATATATATATATATATATAAATATATATATATATATATATATATATATATATATATTTGATGTTTTATGGTGAGACAATATATATATATATATATATATATATATATATATATATATATATATATATATATATATATATATATATATATATATATATATATATATATATATATATATATATTTGTCTCACCATAAAACATCAAATATATATATATATATATATATATATATATATATATATATAAATATATATATATATATATATATATATATATATATTTGATGTTTTATGGTGAGACAATATATATATATATATATATATATATATATATATATATATATATATATATATATATATATATATATATATTTGATGTTTTATGGTGAGACAAATATATATATATATATATATATATATATATATATATATATATATATATATATATATATATATATATATATATATATATAGACACACGCACATATGCACTTTAAACAAAAAAGCAAAAAAGTTAAATTTACAGTAAAAGTCATACATCTTTGCTTTCAAAAATATCAATGATACCATCTTTATTATCATCTAGATGAGCATGAACATCTTTGATAGCAGCATAATTTCTATCACTTAAACCTAAATCCCAACATAACATTCAATGAGAATTCATGTAAATAAGTCTAATAACATATATCCACTAAAGTGTGTACACAAAATAAATGAAAAAAGTAAAAAAATTACTAAAAAAAGGGACCCATCAACTTTTATTTCAAACTAAGTAATAATTTTAATAAATTAATATAAGATAAAATATTTTAAAGAAATTAATTTATTCTTGCAGGCATTTAATCAAATTTCAAACTTTTGCTTTGGTGATACTTATAAGCTTGCGCACAGAATAACCATCAAAACAAATTAAGACGACTAAAATACATAAGACTTTTAAACACGCATTTAAGACGTTTAAGATGTTTAAAAACACGCCTTGTGATTACTGGGTACAACAAATATCTTTTAAAAAAATCACATTCTTTTCACAGTAGGGCAGTATTTTTTAATACATAATTATTAAAAAAAAAACGGATTATCTTTTTTTTTCTTTATGTATTTAAAAATGTTTTTTTAATAGGTATGTATTTTTTTAAACTTCACAATCAGTACTGATAATATAAATTAGATTTGGTTTCTTCAGATCTCAGTATTAATAGGTACTATCCTTTGATTTGCAAAGACCAATAGTAAAATGGTTGGCTTGAGGTACACTTACCCATTAATTCACCTATTTGTCCAAAAATCAGATTTGAATTTGCTGACTACTTTTATGTACTTAACACCTCTTCACTTTATCACCTTTTATCTTTGTTCTTTACCATTCTCTTTCTTACCCAAGACTACATTCTTTTAGATGCAATTTCTGATCAAATCAATCATACTGTTTCTCTTTACCCCTCTGCCAATATTGTTGTTATTGGAGACTTTAATGCTCATTACACTATAAGGCTTGTCTCTAACACCTCTGACTATGCTGACACTAAAACCCGTTGCATTTATATTTCCTAATTTCTTACTCAGATAGTCAGCTTTGACTATCTGAATCAAAGACTCATTTTATAAACAACCCTAATCACTTACCTTTACTCCTTAATTTGTGTCTTGTCTCTGACCCTAGCTTGTGTTCAGTTTCTCCTTGATGTCTTTTTTCTCTCTGCTAATAAATTTTCCTTCAAAGTAACCTCCTTGATTCAGACAGGTATGAAAGCTTTTATTCCTTCTTGTCAGTTCCAAGTCGAGCCACATTCTACTTAATGGTTTTCACCTTCTTGTGCAGCTGCTGTAATCATTTTTTTCATCTCTTTCAAGAAATCAATGTAAAAAGGTGCTTCCTGATGCTAAACTTATTTTTTCTTATAACTTATTTATTATTTCTAGTTAAATCTTCTCTCAGAGAAGATAATTATTTTCTCTCAGAAGTTTGACTCTAGAGACTTTTAAAAAATCATCAAAAGTTTTATTTAAAAAGTAAATTCTAACATTTCATCTCTAATCCTTGCGACTAATCCTTTTACCTCTCCCAAGAATAAGGCTGAACTATTTGAAAAATTTTTTTTTTCTAATTTGACTTTTGAATCTTATGGCTTTACTCTTCCTTCCATTCCTTCTCAACCAAACTATTCTACAGCTTGTGGTCTAAACAACATTCATATCACAGTCTCACAAAAGTATTCTTCAGAACTTTCTTTAATTCTATCGTGCATTAAATAAGGGAGACAAGGCCATTGCTCAAAACATATCTAAAGCTTTCAATAAAGTTTAGCATGTTCTTCATAAGCTTGCTTCATATGATGCAAATAGATTTTTCTTGCTTCATATGATCTGAGAAGGTTTTTGAGATTATCAAATCTTTATAACCGCTTTATTAAAGGCATTCTTAAAAGCCAACACTCTTCTAAATTTCTAGTAACTTCTGGAGTACCTCTGGATAACTTATTCTGAGGTAAGTTATATCCTTGATCCTGTTTTTTTTCTTATCTACATTAATGATCTTTATGAAAACCATCTAAAATGGCTTTTTTTGCTGACGACTAAACTTTATACTCCTATTTTGACAAAAAGCCTTCTTACTTTGATTGTTTAGAATAGGCTCCCGATCTTCAATCTGACCTCACTTCTGTAACAGATTGGGACTTTCAGTAGCTTATAAAATTTAACTCTAAAAAAACTGCAAACAACTATTGCAATACTGTCAACATTCCTATAGTAATGAAATAACTCTCTCACTAAGTCCTCTTCTTTATATCTTTTTAGATTATTGTTTATAACTGACCTCTCATGGAAAATAAACAATAAATACAAAGTTAGCATCTGCTAAGGTTGCTTCTCTTTATTGTGCTCATCTTACTCCTGATTCCATTCTCTACCTCTACTAATCTCTTAGTCATCTGGGTATGGAATACTATTGTTATATTTGGGCTGGTTCTTCTAATGATGCTCTTTCACTTTTAGACCGAAAAAAGAAGGTCCAAAAACAAATTGTAAACATAGTTGGACCTGCTTTATCTGCCAAACTTGAGCCTCTCTCCCACCATTATAAGGTTGCACCTTTTTCTCTTTTCTAAAAATACTATTATGGCCGCTGCTCAAAAGAGCTATCATTTCTAGTTCTATCTAATAAAAACTATTTTTGCTTGACTCACCATTCATCTCAGTCATATCTACCATCTTTTATTGTAAAAAGTTATTAGAGCATATAGGGACAGAGCCTTTATGCTCTATTATATATCTTCATATTTTCCTGACTCATACCTACAACTTCGCAAGTCTTTTGTCAACTGTTTCCGTGCTCTATAACTCTATTCTTTTTCTAGTAACTCCCAATTTAATAGCCTTTGTTTGCAACCTTGTTGGGAGTAAATTACAATTTTATATATATATATATATATATATATATATATATATATATATATATATATATATATATATATATATATATATATATATATATATATATATATATATATATATATATATACTGTAATTATTTATTTTATTATTAATGTAGGTATTTTTTCACATATTTTTTTTATATTATTTAAAAATAAAACAAAAGTGAGAAAAAAAGCGAAAATAAGTTATAAGTTGAAAAAAAAGTGAAATTAAAAACAAATTGAAAAGTAATTAAAAATAAATAAATAAAAAAACAATAAAGATAAACAAGCTTTGTTTGTACAGTATTTATGTTAAAAAAGTATATATTAGACTTGCCTGTGTGTAAAAAACTTTGAAAATATACAATAAATATTGCACAAAAAATGGCCATCGTCATTTAGTTAAACCTATAGAGAAACAAATATATCAAAACAAATGGATAAAAATAACTATATATATATATATATATATATATATATATATATATATATTATATATATATATATATATATATATATATATATATATATATATATATATATATATATATATATATATATATATATATATATATATATATATATATATATATATATATATATATATATATATATATATATATATATATATATATATATATATATATATATATATATATGTATATATATATATATATATATATGTATATATATATATATACATGCATTTTGCTCTGTAGGAATAAATCAACATGTATTAATTTTTGTTCAGATGGAATAAATCAACTTGTTTTTTGGTCAGATGGAATAAATCAACAATTTTTGACCAGATGAAATAAATCAACACTAATCTAGTAAAAGTTAGCTTTTTTTTTAATTAAATTGAGAAACTATTCTAAAAGGGGCTGTTCATTAATTACGTCAACAAAATAGGGGAAAGGGCGGGTCTAAATTTTTTTGACAACTGTTGACAAGGGGGGTAGGTCAAGAAATGTTGATGTCAACACTTTATTTTTTTTTGAACATGTTACTTTTTTTTATAAATTTAACTGTTTAAAAAAAGGGAAAATTAGGCAGCATTTGCAGTCCTGTGTTACAGAGTCGCTCAACCTTCAGTATTTTAATTCCTATCCTACAATTTATACTTCTACTTTTTAAAAACCGTTTTGTGCTTTAAAAGACCAGACATACAGAACTAGATAACTACACACAAGATGTTTACTTGTAACGGTATTATTTTTTCAAAGTTTTTGTTGTCTCAGTCTGCTGTGCATTCAAAAAAGATTCATGTGAGTACATTGTCTACATTACATTGTTTAAACGTTTATACAAGGGGTGCAACCTGCAGCTCGCAAGCCTTTAGCTGCATCTTGATATTGAAATATTATTATCTTGACATGCACAATTTTAGTTGATTTATGATCTGCTAAATAGTAATCTATAAGCATTTTTATATTATTAGAGCTCCTGGATACTAAAAACTAGGAAGAAATAATCTTTTTGTGGTATTCAAATCCTGAGACCTTTTTGGGACTCCGCACTCCTAAATATAATATTGAAATAAAGATGATGGTAGCTCTTTAAAAACTGAAAAACCTTGTATATTGTAACTTTTGGCTCTTCTGTCTCAAAAGGTTGCCAACACCTGGTTTATAAAATTTGTTAAATGCTTTTTTTGTTATTCTAGACTCTATTAAAAATAATTGGCTTTCACTGTAAATTTGTATTAGGTCTAAAGTTAAAGTGAGGAAAATTTTATTAATTTGAAATATGATTATAATTTAAAGGTGTAAACATTTTTGTGAACCCTTTAATATTTTTTTTTCTTAAGAGAAAAAAAAGATTAAAGGTTCACAAAAAAAGGCTCTTTTGTGTTTTTAAACTGGAATTATGTTTATAAGTTAAAAGGTTTTTTTTTTTCTATACCTTTTACTTTAATTCACTTTTTGTTCAGAGCGTTTGTAATTTTAAATGATTATATTCATTTAGTTTAAAGGTTATTAGTAAAAATTTGAATACATTTTTTTTCCTAAACATTTTACTTTGAACCACTTTTTTGCTTCAGTTGTAAACTAGGTAATTTAAAACATTTCATTTTCCATCTTTATTTATTTATTTATTTTTTATTTTTATTATTATTATTTTTTTTTTTTGGGTGGGGAGGGGGTTATCGAATGTTGATGTAATTTTATAGGGGGCTCACTGAAAGTTTGACAAGTTGTTGACAAGAGGGAGGGGGGGAGGTAAAAATTGCCAAAAATTGTTGATGTAATTAATGGACAGCCCCAAAGTTATTTTGGTTTGAAGTTAATGTATTAAAACTCTCAACTTTGATGACAACCATAATAACATTAGTTTAACAATAATAAGATTAATATTAAATTAGTTAACAACAGGATAATGATTTCCTGGAGCCTATTCATTTACATACTAGAATAACAAATTTGTAGTTCTGACACACCCATAATATAATAAAACTTAATAGGAAGTTCAAAAATAATAGATTGCAGGACTCGAGAATCTTTTTTCTACAAAGAAACTAAGAGAAGTTCCTAAACTTTTTTTTTATTTTAATTCTGGCACATCAAAATTGCAAAAAAGAAATTTGAGCATCTAAAATCCAGGTAAAAAAAGCTACTAGATTCCTAAACAATAGTAAAAATATTCAATTTTTAAAATTGTTATTATTATTATTACTAAAATAATTTAATAGTTTTATTTATAAAAATCTGTAAATGACATTTTTTAATGGGTTTAGAGTTATAAAAAAATAAAGATAACAAAATCTGAAAATAGATCATTAGTTTTAACTTATTATGCAACATATTAAATTTTATGATTAAGAATTTCACTCTATTTTAAACCTTTAATATCTTTTTCTTAAAAAAAAAAAAAAAAAAAAAAAAAAAAAAGGGTAAAAGTAAAATTAACACAATTGATAATTTTTAAATTAAAATCAAAACTAAATTCTGATTTTATTTTAGTTCTAGAACAGTTTAATTATTCAATTTTTTATTCAAATTTAATATTTAATAAACCAATTTAATATTTATTTATTGAATATTTGTTTAATAGTAGAGAAAAAAATTTGCCATAAAATGTCAAGAATATATTAATAACTTTAAAAATAAATATTGCTTTAAAAATGAATTTTTTTTTTAATATTCAAAAGATTTTTAAACTCTTTTGAGTCTAAATATTAAACTTAAAAAAAAAAATATTTGAAAAACTAAACTCAAATGTTTACAGATGACATTCAGTTACTTGTACTTGACAGTTACTTTAACACACAGAATTATATTCATAGTTAACATTTCTCCCCTGTAAAAAAAAAAAAAACTTGAGCTTTATCACATATCTATATTAGTACAAAATAATAATTACAATAATATATTTTCCAGTGATTTTAAAAATAAAAAAAATTTAGAGTAATTCACTATTTTTTAATTTAACTCTAGTTCTACATATCAGAAACACTTCTGTGGTTTAGACTGGTTTTTATAACTACATTTTCTCATTTAAATATATGACATAGAAAAGCTAAAACACTATTTTACAACAATTGCCCTTTCTAATGTTAACCTGTTTTGCAAATCATGTTTGAGAAGTTTAATGCCTAAAGTTTAGCTAAGACAAATATAGGATCTTAAATTTTTATTATATTCACCTCAACATTTGTAAAAAAATTTTCCCTTTAAATTTTTTTCAGACCCATTTTTAGAATTCTTTAGAATCAAAAAATGAATCTTGAATTTAGATAAATATTTAAAATAAAAATGAATATAGAAAATATAGAATAGATAGTTTACACTCATTTATAATATATAGTTCACTATATAGCAAAGACAGTTCATTAATTTGATTCAATTTAAAAAAAAAATTTTATACGTAGAAAAAAATTTAGCATTGTCACAATATCTGTTTAGATTATATTTAAAAACCTAAAAAGCGTTAAATATGATTCAACAAACATTTTTTAACTTGAAAAACAAAAATGTTTGATATAATTTTAATAGATATAAGACACATTCATTCAACTCATTTAAAATCTTCTTAACACATTTTACTAGTACCTCGTGCCCATTTGGTATGCTTTGTCAAGATCATATTAGGAGCCCATATTTACGACTTTTGGATATTTTGCAGTATTGAAGCAACAGCATAGCTCATTGCTTGGAATGACATTATTTTTAACTTAAACATTAAAATAATTATTTTCTTCTTTTTCACAAGAACACACTTTTCACTTCAACTACAACATGGGGGTTTCAGTGGCTGGTGACCTTTAACTCAGAATAAACTCAATTTTTTCAGCTAATCGCTATTGCAATAATCTATATCTTCCTATATTTATGAACGGTAAAGTACTAGATTAGTCATCTACTCTTCATCTTTTAGGATTAACTTTTACTTCCAATCTCTTTTGGAAACAAATCATTTGCAAAATTAGCATCTGTTAAAGTTGCATCTAATTATCAGGCTTGCCACTTTCTTACTCAGGATTCTGTTCTTTATCTCTATAAACCTCAAATCAGTCCTCGTATGGAATACTGCTGTCAAATCTGGGGCAGATCTTCCAACGATACCCTTTCTCTGTTAGACATGGTGCAAAAATGCATTGTAAACATAGTTGAAACTGCTCTTGCAGCCAATCTTCAACCATTTTCACATTGTTGTAATGTTACTTCTTTCTCTTTTCTATAAATACCAAAATAGGCGCTGCTCTAAAGAGCTAGCATGTCTTGTACCACCTACTAAAATTCATTTTCATGTTACTAGTCTTTCTAAGTCTCATCCTTTTACTGTGACTGTTCCAAAGTGATTCAAAAGTTCTTATTTGTCAATTTTTTTTTCCTAGTTGAATTATCAGTTTTTTTTCCTTGTTGAATGATCATTCCTTGTTGAACTATCAGTTCTTTGAAATCAGCTCCCTCCATCTTGTTTTCCTGATTCGTATAATTTACAATCTTTTAATTTGTCTATTAGTTTTTACCTTGCTTTTTAAAGTTCATCTTTACTCTTACAGCAACTTCCAACTCTAAAAGTGGTTGCAACTCTAAAAGTGGTTGCAACTCTAAAAGTGGTTGCAACTCTAAAAGTGGTTGCTTGCAGCCTTGGAAGGTAAGATGTTTAAAAAAAAAAAGAAAAAAAAAGGACAACTTTCTTGCAAATTAACACCTTTTTATTATTGCAAGAAATGTAAAAAGTATTTAAATAAATGTAAAAAGATGTTGTTTTATGCTCCAATATTCTCAGAAGTTAGTTTCTAGAGAATTTTGAAAAATCTTTAACAGTGTCATAAATAAAGGTATGTCTAACATTCCATCTCTAATACAAAAGTGTTTTCTAGAACTCTCCTCAATTAATAAACTTATTTACTACAATTAATTATTGCAGTATAATCAACACTCCCATATTAATAAATGGCATCAAAATTTGGAATCCCTATACCAATATAATCATACATTTGAAAAATCAACGTTAAGCAACAAAAATTGTTTCCAGTATATTTAATTATGATCTCCAGGTTAAAAGACTCAAACTTTTATCATCATCATCATTATCATCATTACCATCATTAAAAAAAAAATTTCAAGCAAATTTTTCTACATATAATCTAATTTGACAAGTATGCTGATAGTAAAATGCAAAGTGATTTATTGTCACTATTTGAGGACATATGACAATACTCAGAAGAAATCCTTTTGTGATCTTTGAAAATAATGTATGGTCATGATACATGTTATTCATTCAATTTTCAAAACTCTTTCTGAGAAACATTGTTAATGATACATTGTAGACTGTAGAAGGCACTGTAACATTGCAGCTGTTACAGTGCCTTCTACAGTCTACAATGTATCATTAACATCCAATTCTTGGCATTGTTTAACCCCCATTGAACCAAATAGCTCAGCTGAATCATGTGCTCATTATTTTCAAATTCTGGTACTTCTTCTCTTGATTCACAACTACTGTTCCCCAAGTTGAGAGATAACCAACTGACTCCAAGAAAAAAGTCCTTAAACAGAGGTTATCTATATTGGCAAAGAAGTTGCCACAAAAATGTTAGATTGATGTCATCTGCACGGCCAATATATTTATTATAGTAATTACGGACCATTAAGTAGTTAATCTGAGTTGTATTAGCACCAGTGTCAATAAAGCTGCTTCTTAATATTAGTATTTAGATTATATATTTAGTTAGTATTAATTCCTCCATTATGACTAACCCCAACTTAACAGGTTATGTGCCCAATATCAAAGTTTATTATTCGATGAAGATAAAAAAAAATTTGAATTATGGGAAATAAGAATATTATGATACATGAAACTTAAAGGTTTAAAAGATGTTATTACTGGAACTTAAGAAGTCCACGCTGAAAACGAATTAGCGTTTGCAGAATTAATCCAATACCTAGACAAATGATCGCTTTCATTAGTAATGAGAGATGTTTGAGATAAAAGAAGAGAAGCATTTTCAATACTTAAACAATACTGTGCTGGATGTAGCAAACCAAGAATTATAACATTATACAATCAACTTACAACTCTTCAAAATTTGAATTTGGAGTCAATTACCGATTGTATAATAAGAGCGGAAACATCAGTAACAACATTGAGATCTTCAGATGAAGTTGTAAGTGATTCACTCTTAGTAGCAACGGTCTTAAAGGGATTACCAAATGAATATAAACCTTTTATTGTGGTTGTAACACAATCAGAAACTGTTAAGTGTTTTCAAAAATTTAAACAAACACTTAGAAACTTTAAAGAAACTGAAAATTCAAGAAGTAATCAGGTTGAACCAATTGTAAGCAGTATTATGAAGAATAATGTGAAATTTAAAAATAAAAATGTTGCAAAATGTGGCATGTGGTACTCCAGGTCACAAATCTACAGATTGTTAAAAAGAAAAAAAAGAAAAAGGTGTAAATTGTGTAAATCAAGCACTCATAATGACAAACCTTGTTGTAAACAGCAACAGGAAAAATATAAAGCTAAAAAGTAAACAGATCAAAATATTGATCAAAATTATGAATTTAAAGTTGATGAAGGAAATATGTAACTTTTACCTGAAAATGAATCATTCCTTGTTAATTGCGGACAACCACTTATATAGTTAATAGTGATAAATATTTTATTTACTTGGATGAACATTTTAAACCAGATGAACATTATATTGAGTTGGCTGATGGTACAAAAACTAACAATGTGGCCCAAAAACGACGAACAATTTCAGTAGAATTAACTACTGAGGATGGAAATGTAGTTCAAGTTAAACTAGAATATACTTGATTTGCACCAATTGCATATTTTTTGTTCAAGCTGTTTCACAAAAAGGTGCAATTGTCAACTTCGAAGGTAATAAAGGAGAATTGATTGCTAAAAATGGGACAATATTTCCAATATACCAGAAAGGCAGATTATATTAGTTAATCAAAACTTTAATGAGTAAAGTTCAAAAAGAAAACATTAATACATGGCATAAAATTCTAGGACATTGTAACTTCGCTGATTTGAAGAAATTAGAAAAAGTTGTTGAAGGTATAAAGATTACCATAAGTAATAGAAATTTTTGTGAAACATGTATTTTAGGAAAACAAACAAATATACGTAACAGAGAACCTAATATTAGAGCAACGTATCCATTTGAGTTACTATATACAGATTTAGCTGGACCAATTGCGCCAATTGCAAAAGATGGATATAGATATGTTATTAGTTTCACTGATGATTATTCAGGATGTTTATTCACTTATTTTTTAATGCATATGTCAGACGCTGTACATTCTACAGAAAAGTTCTTAATAGACATTTCTCCATATGGTAATGTAAAGACTTTCTCATTCAAAAGTGATGAGATTTACCCATCTGGACGTGTTAGTCGAATTAGAAGCGATAACGGAGGTGAATATATTTCAAGGGAATTTCAAGAACTTCTAAGAAAGTACTGTACTAAGAATGAGCATACCTTGCCATATTCTCCCCCATCAAAATGTAATGCCAAACAAAACTGGCAAACTTTGTTTGATGTTGTTAGATGCATGCTTATTGAATCAAAGTTACCAAAATTTCTATGGACGTATGCAATAATGACTGCAATTTATGTTAGAAATCGTTGTTATAGTAGTAGACTTAAAAACACGCCATATGGAACTATCACAAAGTCAAACCTTTTCAAATAATATATATTCGGAACAATATGTTATCCCTATGAAAATGATAGTGAAAAAGTTAGATCCACATAGTAAAATTGGATATTTTATTGAATATGACAGAGAAAGCACTTTATATTTTGTATACTACCCTGAAACAAATTC